TTCTATCGTTCTGATCGACGAAACAATTGGATCTGATCCAGATGATCAGAATAGCGTTCGTTTCGAGAGATTTCATCCATTTGAGTCATCCGCACCACCATTCTTGCCACGGCTAGCAGTGTGAGAAACACCAACCATTTCAACCTAAGCGGAGTGACGAAGCCTTATATAAAGACTGTGTCTGCATTACCTTTGAAATGAGTAACCATAGAAACGTGATGACGTCATAATGACAGCTATGCTTTTAGCGAATAGATAGGCCTCCATTTTCGCTTTCATTATTATAAGCGAGCAGATAATTAGAATGCCTTAATTGTAACGCTAATCCGTGAAAGGCGACTGGTTAAAAGCAACGACAAAATAATAATACCGGCAATTTTTTTTTTCTTGAGCGCGGGTTTTTTGAGGAACTTTTTTTTATTGCGCATCTGCTTTTTTTTTATTCTTGATTGTGATAACTGAATGTAATCAGCTTTTTTTTTTTTTCTTACTTCATTCATTCACAAGTTTCGTTTAGGTTTTCTATATATTTTATTTTTATTTATTTAATTTAGTACTGGAACATCTGTTTAAAATATTTTTTTATTATTCTAGCTTAGCTTCTTGTTCTTCTTCGATGATCGTGGCTCTACACAATTTCTCTCCTTTGTGGGTCCTTAGTAAAGTTTGTCTTTTGCGTACTCTCCAAAATTATGTCTTGCCAGCCATTAACACACGCTAGGTAAATAGGCTATGCGGTGATTTCCACTGTCGTTTTTGGCCTTCAATATGTCCTGTGAGTGTTAAATTTTCTAAACCCTCTTTCCTCATTATGTTGCTGAGATATTACACCTGTCTCACTTTGATGCTAAGCATGTATGTCCTTTTTTGTTTCTGTCCTCTCTAAAACCCCGTCTTTGTGCACAGTTCTAAAACTTTCATAATATTATGAGAGCAATAAGTTCAGACATATTAAGCAGTATTTCGTAATAATAAAGAGGGATAATATAATAATGGACTCTCCCGTCGGTTTCGACGTATGAGGATCTGACATCTTATTGATTCAGTTATGAAAGTTTGTGCGATAATCTTAAGTGTCATTTAAGACCCGCTAGTGATTTACAAAGGAGGCCAAATATGGAGCAAGTGTGAGGATTGTCAGAAGAGATCACTGTTAGATTGGCTGACCTTTTAGATCTTGCTCTCGCTTCTTGAAGATGAATCAGACAAGCAGAGTGAAAATTGCTGAGTCCACTAAAACACGTTCATCTTCATTCTACCGGCTCCAAAGCTAAGCGCTCAAGGGTGTATATGAGGGATAATATATATATATATATATATATATATATATATATATATATATATATATATATATATATATATATATTTCAATTATAGGTGCAATTTTAATTTATAACTCCATGAATCATTCATACAAAAAAAACAAATATAGAGGTTAATGATTTAAATGGCGAGAATACATATTCGCAAACAATATCAATAAGATACACCAACCCCGAACCTGTATATGAATGATATGATCCCTGTTCATAAATTCCAGTTGCATAAGGTCTTTTTAATTTTTTACAAGCTTTCGTCTGTTCCTACAGACAGGTATGGAATAGATTTGTTCTTGTTTTTTACTTCATGGTAATAAAATTTAAATCATTAACCTCTATATATGTTTTTGTATGAATGATTCATGAATTTATATATATATATATATATATATATATATATATATATATATATATATATATATATATATATACCGTAAAATGGTGGTATTAAAATATAATAACGAGTAAAAAGAGCTAAATCGATTCATTGGATGAACATTATTATGTTTTATTTTCATTTGTTTTTTTTTGTTTTTTGTTGTTATTTTTTTATTATTTTTTTTTTTTTGTTTAGCGTCTTATCAATACCTCCCTGTGTTATTTAATGGCGAAATCTAAATGTTTTGAACGGAAATTTTATGGTGGGGGGGATATAATAATTGTTTTAGTAATGTACTAATTTATTAGTTTACTAATTAAGCATTACCTGAGCAGAAGAGGTGGATTCATACCTTTCCGAAGGGTATTTGCAGGTAAGAAAATATAATGAAACTAACCGGAATTGGAACTCGACTCTCCCATTAAGTATTCAGAGCCATTATCTATTACACCATCCGCACATCCGAATTCAAAACCTGCAGAGGGTTGTTTGGGGACCTTGTGGCACATAGTGCACCAAGTCTCTGTATTCGTCCCTTCAAAACATATGTTTGGTTCTGCCCAAAGATTTCATCACTATAATCAAATCATATGTGCTGGTGTCTGGGCTGTCGCTCCCTAGGAACGGAACTGCTTGACCCTCATGCGTCGAATACGACGAAAGAAATATATATATATATATATATATATATATATATATATATATATATATATATATTGTGTGTGTGTGTATTTAGGCAGCATTTTAGATTCATATATGTTTCATTAAATAATATAGACATTATTTAATAAAACATGAATATATATATATATATATATATATATATATATATATATATATATATATATGTGCATTTTTATCCACGATTTTTGCTCTGATGAGAAAAGGCTGACAAACCGATTAAACTTTTTGTAATAATTATTACATTTCGTTGTTAATATTTTCCAGAAATAAGCAAAAATAGGTATACAGTAATAAAAATCAAAACCTGCGAACAAAAAAAACAAAAAACAAAAATTATTGTATTGATTATACAAGCATATCAATAATAACCAATCAATAATAAATATATCAATGATAAATATATCAATGATAAATATATCAGTTTCTCAAATGTTCAAATTATTTGCCGCCGTCATTCACAAATTCTTCTTTATTATTATTATTATTTTTATTTTCTTTGATTTCTGGCGTTTACACATTTCTTTCCGGGTCCCGCCCAGGGACCTAAGGTTAGAAATGGCGTCATGAAACTTTCCACTGACAAAAAAAAAAAATTACGTAGATAAAGCCCTTCGTAAGGTGTGGGCAGTACTTGTCAGAACAATTTTTTGTATCTCCTTGTGGCATGGACTTCCAGGAATCCCTTCAATTAGTCTACTGCAATCTTTTCCAACCAGTCCTAGGGCTCCAACTACAACAGGGATTGTTGATGTTCCCATATGCCACATTTTCGAGATTTCTATTTCAAGGTCCTTGTACTTTGACAACTTTTTGAATATCTTGAAAGATACATTGCAGTCAGCAGGGACTGCCATATCAATAAAGAGGCACCGTTTTTGTTTGTGGTCTTTAATAACAATATCTGGTCGGTTGGCCTTGAATGTTCTGTCAGTGTGTATTGTGTAATCCCATAGAATTGTAACAGGTCCTATCTCCGTAACCGGGTCTGGGTGGTGTTCATACCAGTTTCTTTCAGTTTTCTTTCCGTAGAAATTGCAGATTTTCCAGTGCAGATATTGGCCCACTCTGTCATGTCGGGTTTTATATTCAGTGGGTGCCAACACCGTACAACCTGATACAAGATGATCAATCGTTTCTGGATATTTATCACAGAATCTGCATTTTGGTCTGACACAATATTTTAGTATATGTGCTTGATAATTCCTAGTTAGCAAGCATTGATCCTGTGCAGCAAGGATAAAACCTTCAGTTTCCGCTTTCAACCCTGAACTACGTAGCCACTGATGGGTACGGGTTTTGTCTACGTCAGCTTGTTTGGTACGGGCAGAGTATTGGCCATGAAGCGGTTTATCTTGCCATCGCTTCTGTAACTGGACGGTTGCATTCGTCTTTGCTGTCTTCTTTAGGTATTTTGCAGTTTCATCCGGTGTATTGTGTTGTAGTTGCATCTCTACGCCCTTATTATTATTATTATTATTATTATTATTATTATTATTATTATTTACAGAGAAAATTAAATATTATTATTATTATTATTGTTATTATTATTTTATAAAAAATACAAATATATTATTATTATTTATAAAAAATAAAAATTAATTATTATTATTATTATTATTTATAGAAAAAATAACAAATTATTTCTATTATTATTATTATTATTTTATAAAAGATATAAATTTATTATTATTATTTATAAAAATTTCTTCTTATTATTATTATTTATAAAAAATAAAATTTCTTCTTATTATTATTATTTATAGAAAAAATAAAAATATATTATTATTATTATTTTTTAAAAAGATACAAATGTATTATTATTATTATTATTATAAATAAAAAAAAATTATTATTAATTTTATTATTCCTAATAAAACTTTATTTTTATTATTATTATTATTTTATAAAAGATAAAAATTTATTACTATTATTATTATTATTATTATTTATTAAAAATATATATTTATTATAATTATCGTTATTTATTAAAAAGTATAAATTTATTATTATTTTCATTATTTATTGATAAATAGAAATGTCTTTATAAGGAAAATTATGAAATTAAAATGATTAAAAATGATTTTAATGAATTAATTCCAGTATCAAATGAATCTGAGAAAAACTATTTTAAGACTGGTACAGTGTAACCCGGATGTAAGAGAGTTGTCGGGACCGGAGAAGAAGTCTCTTATATCCGGGTTTCTCTTATATCCGGGTTTCTCTTATATCCGGGTTTGGTCTATTTTATATACATTAACACAGGCTCTAATTTGGGACCAGAGGAAACTCTCTTATATCCGGGTTTCTCTTATATCCGGGTTTGGTCTATTTTATATACATTAACACATTTTATACCAGAGGAAACCTTCTTATATCCGGGTTTCTTTATATCCGGGTTAGGTCTATTTTATATACATTAACACAGGCTCTAATTTGGGACCAGAGGAAACTCTCTTATATCCGGGTTTCTCTTATATCCGGGTCTCTTATATCCGGGTTACACTGTTTGATACTTACTGTATACCTACATTTTATGTATTTTCTATTACCCCTCATTTTTGTTATGTTTTTCCTTGTCTTTTATATTATGAAATGCACATATCTCTAAACTAAACCTTATGTATTCTTGTATGCTAAATAGTTTATTTGTTGTTCTCCCTGTACCTATTGTAGTTTTCTTTTTCCCTAAATAGGAGGCAATACTTTCGGTGCTCCTAACGGATTAAAGGAAAGAATGCTGAAATATGAAAGCATAAAGGAGGAGAAAAGAAAATTAACTCGAAAGAAAACACAAACGTCTTTATAAAGATGAAAGAAAAGAATTTGAATCTATCCTATTTGTAGTTACAACCGAATTCCAAAGTTAATATAAAAAAATATGTTAAAAAATGTCGATTTCGAAAAAATTCATACAGGGTATAAAATATTTGAATAACTGAACACTATTTTATTTTATTTTATTTTTTATTTTAGTTTTATTTATTTTTATTTTATTTATTTTTATTTTTATTATTTTTAATTTATTTTTATTCATTTTATATTTTATTTTTATTTATTTTTATATTTTATTTATTGATTATTTTTATTTATTGTTTATTTTATTTTATTTACTTTTTTGTTTTTATTTATTTTATTTTATTTATTGTTTATTTATTTTATTTTTATTTATTGTTTATTTTTATTTTATTTATTATTTATGTTTTTTATATTTTATTTATTGCTTATTTTTATTTCTTTTGGCTATATTTTATTATATTGTTTATTCTTATTTATTTTTATCATATTTTATTTATTGTTTATTTATTTTTATTTTTTTGCGGGGGTGTTAGGGAAGATACTTCACAGTCTCAAACTAACGATTTTGTTTTGCTACAATTTTCATCGTTTTTTTTTACTTTTATTTTCCTTTATAGCCGCTATCGATGATGTTTGTATTATATTTTCTATTCACGTTATGTTTTAATATCGTTCTCACTCTGAATTTTTGTTTTCCCATTTACTAAGTTCAAGTTTGGCGTTTTCAGGACGGGAACATATTTGGCAATTTAAAATCATAAATAACTGCTCTAAAGAAAAGAAAAAAAATATTCTTAGCTAAAATATAAAAAATATAATTACTACGCTTTAAAACAAATCGAAACTGTATCCGTTTTTATTTTCATGCATTGAATATTGCTGCCTCAGTTGATCTGGTGCTTCTGATGTGCATTTAGTGATTCTTGATTCTCAAAAAATACAAAGAAGAATCAGCAATTTTATTAACCTGGCATCTTGTCTTCAGTTACTTTTCGACAGCCCTAATTTCTTTGTGCCTTTCCTATAAATAGATCCATAGTAAAATGTTCGAATGAACTTTCCGCTATCGTACTTAGATTTTATTAATTTAAGCGCAGTTGTAGATTGGCCTCATCATTTTACATTTGAAATGGCGAAATTTAACCGTAAGAGAGGTTCTTTTCCGTGACAAAGCAATTCTAAATTTATCCTTACAGAAATATAACAACCAAAGCTTAAGTTTTCTAACAGTTTCTTCTCTCGCACTTCCCGCTTGTGGAACTCTGTTCCGGCTACTTTCTTTCTGGTCAAGTTTGATTTTCAGAAATTTAAATCCAATGTCAATAATTATCTTCTTAATTTCTGTTTCTTTTTTATTATTATTCTTTGTCTTAATTTTTTTTTCTCATATTCTCTTATATTAATAACTCTTTGCACCATAGGGGGTTTATAGCTGGGGATAAAATGATTAAAATTATGTTTAGTTGTCTTTATAAATTAATTTTGTTTTTTTCATTTTTACTTTCTCTGTTAAAAACTATGTTTCTTAGTTTCTTTTTATCCTTTTCTTAATTTTTGTAGTTTTATCTTTATTTCTCTCTTTCATTCATTCTCTCTTCTCTTTCAAATCTTCTTTCAACTCTGTTTAAGTTTATTCTTTTTCTCCACTTTTCCTTCCTTTCTTTCTTTAAACTATATTTTTTATCATTTTTATCTTATCTATGTTTAAATTCAATACCTAAGTCGTCCTTTTCTTCTTCTTCTTCTTCGTCGTCGTCGTCTTCTTCTTCGTCTTTTTATGCTTCGTTGTCGTTGTCTTCTTCGTCGTCGTCTTTTTCTTCTTCGTCGTCTTCCTTTTCCTTATTCTCTCTCTCATCCTTCGTCTTCTTCGTCGTCTTCTTCTTCGTCTTTTTATTCTTCTTCATCTTCGTCTTTTTCTTCGTCGTCTTTTTTTTTTCTTTTTCGTCGTCTTCTTCTTCTTCGTCGTCTTCTTTTTTTCTTTTAAAAGTACTACTACTTGCAACTTAATTTCTACTTTCTAGTTACTGGCCCATTTTTCTCTTTTGTTTTTTTTTTATCTTTTATTTTTTTCTCTCCTCTTTTTCTTTCGTTGTCATTTTTTTTTCCTTTTCCTTATTCTCTTCTTTAAAACGTTTTCCTCTCTCTCCTTGTCTCTTTCTCCTTTATTCTTTATCTCCTTTTTTTACATCTTTTTTTCTTTCTATTCACTTTCTACCCTTTCATTTATCATCCTCTTTTCTTTTCTTCTTTCAAACTATTCCTCATCGTGTTGTTACCATTCAACTCTATTTATTTTTCTTCTTAATTCCACATTCTTTTTTTTTCATACAAAGTTCCACATTCTTCACTGCATACAAAATTCGATTTTCCTTCTAATTTTCTTTGTTCAAAATCTTCTTTCTCATATCACCAAAAGCAAATGAACTTGACTTAAGTATGGATGAATAAACATGCTAATTTTTTGCTATGGACGAGAGGTTCTTTTCCGTGACAAAGCAATTCTAAGTTTATCCTTACAGAAATATAACAACCAAAGCTTAAGCTTCCTAAGTTTTGAGAAAGAAAAAACAAATAAGAATAAGAATATATTTTAACATGGCAGATAAAGACGTAAAGGAAAGAAAGGAAATTGCGGGAAACTGTAGACGGTTGAACAAGAGATAAAAGAAACGTATAAATTTGAATTCTTAGTTTTTATTTTTTAATCCAACGGAAAAAAAAGTTTGTTGTTCTGAGGCTATCATATTATCATTCTTTTTCTTTTCTTTTTTTTTTTAAAATTTTCCCTCTAATATCATATTGTATTTTGTTCTTCAAGTTCATTTCCCAAAGCGATTTTTGGAAGATGATTGAAACTCAGAAACCCCGCATTACATTTGTATAAACGTACAAAAACGTACACGCTCGGAAAAAGGTTTGCAAATACAAGCCAGTACGTTGGATGCCTTCCTTATATTGATTGTTGGCGAGCTCTTCTTTTCAAATACCTGTTCTTTTGCATAGCGAAATTTTCATTGCTTTCTCCATTATAATTATTTGGCAGGCTAAGGTAATCATCGAAAATAAACATGGAGTAATTTAGAAACTGATATTTGTCATAGAGAGTTAATTCATGATCATCATCATCATCTTCTTCTTCTTCTTATTATTATTATTATTATTGTGTTGTGGCTGTTCAGTGGCTTGGAGGTCTAAACAATGTTTGGCCTATTAAAATCCATCTTGATTCATGTCCTGCTACCCATTTACCCAAGTTGGTCAGGTGATATTTAGCTACCCCCCCACAAGGGTTACATATGGCACAAGGCCAGGTTTAACGTGAGATCTCTGAACCCGTAGGCTCGGCCAAAAATATTCCCTCTTCGAACCCGCACAAACGGGTTAAGGGGCAGTCAACCACCCCGAACGAGACTCTGCCCTTCGGCGGAGAGCTCGAAAGCAGAGAGTTAGACTGTTGGCCCCGGAGCCATACCCCGGAGCGAAGTTGGTCAGGTAGGATGTTTTGGTATCCCTCTAGGGCGTTAATGTTTTATAGCTTCGAAAGGACGCGTGGTCTCTCCATGGGATCAGGAAGGGTATAGATTATACTAACGCCGCTTAACAAGATCAAATACACGTGAACTCTGCTTAACAATGAAAACGCAAACCACGTAAAAATTAAAATACCAGGATTTTTTCTCCATATCTCAAACTCAGATAAAGCTTTAATCAGAGTGAAACATGTTAGATTGATTACCGTTTCATGATGGCTTTGATGTATACTATTAAGTTGGTGCAAAAATAATGACGTAATAATGTCGTTTTGATGTATTTTTTGTAACGTCCAAAACGACATTATTACGTCATTATTTTTGCACCAACCTAATATATTAATGGGTAAAAGCGCTCAATATCAAATAAAAAAAAGTGGACACTGAGGACAAAAGCAAGAGGCGTCAGTAGCTTTACTAGTATGTCAAATGAGTGAATTGAAGCATGAAACAGGTTGTTACCGCTTGTTGTTGTCCTCACTGTCCACTTTTATATTTACAGACGTTCTATCACTGATATTGAACAATTCCACCTTTAAATATAGCATACCTTAATATATATATATATATATATATATATATATATATATATATATATATATATATATATATATATATATATGCATAAATTCCGTAAAGGATAGAATCTAGGTAGAACTCAATGTCCAAGACAGAGAAAGAATATGACATAAAGGCTCAAACACTAACATTCCATGGTTATAATTAGAATTACTAAAATGCAAAAATAATTTTAAATTTGTAGTTCTGATGAATTGGATCGTGATTACGATTTCCAATGTAATAAATTATAACCATAGAATATAGTAGTATTATATATATATATATATATATATATATATATATATATATATATATATTTTATATATATATATATATATATAGTTTTAAGCTATACTTATTATGGAATAAGAGATCAGAGATAGAGCATATGTAAA